CTTTGCGATTTGGGTTGATAATTTATATATGTTTATCAGTGCCGCATTATGAGTAGATCTCTTGTATTATTCTAACGTCTTGACCTCAATGTCCACTTTTATATTTACCTACGCTCTATCTCTGATATCGAGTATTTTAACCCATATTTTAACCCGTATTTTAACTATATTTTTTATCGTATCACATTATATATCTATATATCTATCTAGAGGAGGCACGGTGGAGTAATGGATAGCAGCTTGGATTGAGGAATCGGAGAGCCGAGTTCGAATTCCAGTCGAATCCATTACATTCACTTACGTGCTAATACCCTTGGGAAAGGTCTGAATCCTCTTCTTCTCCCTCCAGCTATGGGTAAAATATCAGGACAGACTGTGTTCTATAGGAGAAGGAAAAACTCTGAATTCAAAAACCTGCGGAGGGCCGTTTGGGGACCTTGTGGCACGTAGTGCACCAGGTCTCTGTAATCGGCCCTTTAAAAAGTGTGGATGGTCCTGCACGAAACCTTCACCACTATAATCAAATATCATGTGCTATACATGCGGTTGGGGACCGCTTGTGAATTCCAAATTCCCATGAAACTCCAATATTGGAGCCGGCTTAACTCACCCCGGTATGCCGGTATAGGTATCTCTCTCTCTCTCTATATATATATATATATAAACTTTCCGTTTTTGCTGTCTTTATTCCTGTTTTGAATTTGGTGGTATATGGAACTAAAAAATAGCTAAATCTATTAATGGTTATTAAAAAAAATGATAATGTTTAGTATGATATTTAGTATGATCGCATAAAATCATCAGGCAAGCCGTAGTTTTATTATCCCTGCAGGAGACATTACTTTCGGAGCATCGTTTATAATATTCTAGGATAATCGACAGATTATGTTACCATGTAAAATGTGTGCACCAATACCTTATGCCCCGGTGCTTCTAAGCTTGGCGAATCGTATTCAGCAGACTAACTTGAATTAAGAAGATAGGTACGAAATTACGAAAAAAAGTTTTAAAACTACTTCATGTTCTATGATAAGATAACGAACAAATGCGAAAAGTTTATCAATGTAACATGTTTCCCTTTTATTAAAATATGTCCGTCTCTGAAGAAGCTTTAATAAAAGTGAGACATGTTAGAATGATAAAATGTTTCATATTTGTTCTTTATCTTATCATTCTGTTGAATTCCGATCCATATTTGATCATTATGTTCTATGAAAAATCCTTGCTCGTAATTCTTTGATGAAAAGAGTTTACGATTAAAAATCATGCGTTGGAATTGATTTTAAAGAAAAACGGAAAACATTTACTTGTATAAATGTTTTACATTGAAAATCATCAAAATTGAAATATAATTATAATATTTATAAGTCTACCATTCGCCTTGTTTTGAATATTGCTGCCACATCTGGTCTGGTGCTCGCCTGATTGGCAGCAAGGTCTCATAATTTTACAGTTAAAATGGCTAGATATAACCGTAGCTTCTATACTAACAGTTTCTTCTCCCGCACTTCTCGCTTGTGGAATTCTCTTCTGGCTTCTTACTTTCTAGTTAACTTTGAGCTTCAAAAATTTAAATGCAATGTCAATCGTTATCTTCTGTCTTCTTAATTTCTCTTCTATTGTCCTCTCTCCTTAATAGTGCTTTATTTTTCATATTCTTTTATTGTCAGTAAACACTTGCATCTTAGTGGATTTATTTTCTTGCTGAGAGTGAAATTATTAAAAAGAAACATTTGTGGTCTGTCTACGAAATAAGTATGTTGAATGAAAAATGTATGAATTTTTCTTAAGAGAATTTTGAGCTAAAAGGCAAAGAAATTAATGACTATGTTAAAAATACACAGAACTAATATAAAAAAAGACATTAATTATCACGTTTGTTATTTCCCCTTTAAGCTCTACATATTAATTAACATCTTCTCTTATGAAAATATGCACCTTGGTTTCATTTTGTTCTCTGCACGCTGCTGTGACGATTAGATGTTTTCCAGCGATGCTTTAGCCCTTGAGGAATTTCAATTTTTATTCTTAGTCAACATACATCGTAGAAATAAGCAAACAATTAAAAAAAAACTTTGGCCATTGATGGTGCTAAATAAACAAGAAAGATTGACATGACCAATTTTATATTTCCAAGCTTAAAAAAAAAACTATTTTACCATCTCTGTCAATTAAATTTAATATAAAATAACAGGTGACTTCCGAACAAATTCTGGCTGAATGTTCTTACCGTCGATATTTTGACAAAAATTTTGGTAAGTGCTTCTCATCAGTTCTGGGTCGACCAACTTCCGAAGAATACTTTCATTAGGACTAACCCCTCGGCATAATCGAAACAAGGATTCAATGCATTGAACTGGGCGTTTGATCTTACCAGTCCTGCAAGAAAACAATACACTGATAAAGATAACTGGAAAACAGCTGTAGAAGCGTATGGTGCCGAAATATACGCATTTCATATATATATATATATATATATATATATATATAGTTTATGCAAAACTAGGTAATCAGTATGGATAGACCCAAGGAGGATGATACCCGGAGAGCTCAATGTAAATTCAGAGCAAATAAATTTGAATAAAAACAGAGACCACTTTAAGGTTCCATGTAATAAATTATTTCACCACAGCCCTTTTAAAAGGACTGAAAATAAAAAAATCAATATAATTTTTTTTATTTTATTTCAACCTTTGGAAGTAAATTCTGATGATCCAGAGCCCTTTAAAAGGGCTGTAGTGAAATATTTTATTACATGGAACCTTAAAGTGGTCTCTGTTTTATTAATATATATATATATATATATATATATATATGAAATGCGTATATTTCGGACACCATATTTTCATTAAGACAGGTTTCGTTAAATAATTTAGACGTGTTCTGTTTACTTATTCTAGATAGGGTCCTTTCATATTCGCAGATAAGCTTTTTGTGCAGTTATTAAAAGACGAGACGAAAACACCGTGTTGGCTCAAAATTGTTGTGGTCATCTAGCTATGCTGTGGAAAAAAGTGTACAATAGATAGTCTTTAAATGTTAGCGCCTGTCATAAATAGTGTTTCCTTTATCTAGAAGTTCGGAATTTTCCACAGCATACATAGTTACCTACCCTTAAACGGTGTTAGCGTCACCCAAGCCATGACACAGCGTTCCTGACTTCACATATAAAAATTGTAATTTTCGGACGACCACAACAATTTTTGTCCTTCACAACCATGAACACTAAATATTTACTCTATAATTAACAATACGTTGATGATGACATTATGCTATGTCGAAAGTACTCGGAATAAATACAATCTGATACAACACGTTGTTTTCCTCTCGTCTTTTAATAATCGCACAAAAAAGCTCACCTGCGAATATGAAAGGATCCTCTCGAGAATAAGTAACACGTCTAAATTATTTAACGGAACCTGTCTTTATATATATATATATATATATATATATATATATATATATATATATATATATCCTGTGTAAATATATAGCTTCTGTAAATATATACCTTCTATGTAAATATATAACGACCTGATGAGCTTCTATTTATCCGTCACCGTATCTTCATTTCTTTAGAAATAAAAAAAGTGTGCTGAACTGTGATGTCGTATTTATCCTCCTGTATGGCAGTGAATGTTATACAATTCCCTTAGAGGTGAAGAAGAGACTCAGGGGACTCTACAGACAATGGATAGGAAGGAGGGGGGATTAGAACTCTCGTGGGATATATTGAGGGCAAGAAAGGTAGCGGGAGGGGGGGCAACGAGCCACTATACGTGAGGAACTTGTATGGATGGATTGCGGAACAGGGGACAGGAACCTTAGCAAAATGTAGAAAAACTGCTAAGAGCCACATGAGATAGGAACTTGGGGAAAGTCATAATCTTCTAAATCCTGAAGGAATGCGGCACATAGAATAATAATAACAACAACAACAACAACAACAACAATAATAATAATAATAATGATAATAATAATAATAAAAGATCTTCGAAAATAAATAAAAGATCTTCAAAAAGCTATCAAAATACAAGGACCTTGAAATCGAAATCTCAAAAATGTGGCACATGGGGACATCAACAATCCCTGTTGTAGTTGAAGCCCTAGGATTGGTTGGAAAATATTCCAGTAGACTAATTGAAGGGATTCCTGGAAGCCCATGCCTTAAAGAAATACAAAAAATGTTCTCACAAGTTCAGCCCACACCTTACGAAGGACTCTATCTATGTAAAATATGTATTTTTTTTTTTTTTTTGTCAGTGGAAAATGTCATGATGCCATTTCTAACCTTAGGTCTCTGGGCGGGACCCGGAAAGAAATGTGTACACACCAGAAATCAAAGGAAATAAAAAAAAAATAATAATCTAGTAATCATCGTTTCTTTCTCTACTTACCCGCCAAAAGATCACAAGCCGCTGACGGTACCATGTCATCCTAAACGGTAAGCCATCAAAGTAATCTTCAATGCTATTTAATGCCAATAATTAGATGATAACCGTTTATTTCAGTGTAACCCGCCTGATAAATATTTCAAATCGTATTCTCCCTGTCATTGCTCAGTCATTGTGTCGGATTTTCGGAATTGGTTTTAAAGTAAGAATTCCAATCTGCGACGCTGGCTTGCTAATCTTTGTTGCAAACGCCTGATCAAGCATATTTGTGTTCTTTCAACACCCACAGAGCCCATTTGTGGTTTACACTGCCTTAGTTACATTTTCTAAGAGAGAGCACACAATTTGGTTTGATTAGTAGGTAAACAAAGCTCCTAAGTTGAAACCCTCGATCACGACAACTTGTGGCTTCATACTAGCACAAACATTGACGGCTTCCGAACAGTTTTGTTTACCTAATTTCACTCGCTAGGCTTGGTTCAACCTGTGAAACAGATAACATACACTTCATAACTATGCCGATATTATCAAGAAGTCGGTTATTTGAAAAATCGACCATGCAGAGATTCGAACTTTGGTCACGGTCCAATACATACATTGTTTGCCTTACGGCCATATCACTTTGAAACACCGATCCTACACGATCACCGAAATTAAGCAACGTCGAGCCTGGTCAATACTTAGATGATTGAGCGCTTGAGAAAACCAGGCGCTGTAAACTTGGATGTGCCGGTGGTGCAATGAATAATGACTCAGAATTTGAAATCGGCTCTCCGGTTTCCTACTCCAGTCCGATTCGTTATCTTGACTTAAGCGCAAAAAAACCATTGGGAAAAGTATGAATCCGCTTCTTTTCTCCCAGCTATGGGTCAATTAGTATCAATAAAAATGGGTCAATTAGTATCAGTAAAATGGGTCAATTGGTATCAGTAAAAATCATTATTATCTCCAAAACAACCCTTATAATCTAAAATATTTTCCGACCTTAAATAACCTACTAAAGGTTGATAAGCCGTAAAATACAAATCACTCAATTAATCACACATTGTTTAAAAGTCCATAGCAAAGGTTACCTAGGCATTGATATAATAGCAATTAAATTTACATTTAAATCAAATGAGGAATTCTTCCCCAGAGCTACCCGTTGCATGATCGTCGTAGGGGCGTTCATCTCAAACAAGTAATGACGTTGCCACTAAAATACCGTGAAAAATATGTCAAAATCCAAAAGTTCACTTCAGTAATATGCCTAGATGTTTGGGGCTAATCAATCTATAACTGTGTTTAAGTTTCTTGTCTTTCAGTCTGACAAGTGCTACGTGCTGTATGATGCGTAAAGAGGAAATGCGTACCGTCTCGTAACTCATGTTGACAAGAGGCTGGTGTTTTTGTGATATAATGACCCGAGGAAATGATCTCGGCGCAGATCAAGGCCTGACCTGGAAATGATCCGGTTATTATTCAAAACTAACAGGGAGTTGTAGCGCGTTATGTCTCAGACGCCGGAATCAAACCAATATAAATACGGGCGTCTGTACAGAGCCGCGGAGAGGAGGACAGACAGAGACTTGGACGCCAGGATACATACTCCCCAAGGCACAGGACCGAATTACCCGTCATGTTTACGTGACTCTATATTTTGTTCTTAACACGTAAATAGCAGGCCAAGGTTGCAAGAACGTGCACACCAAACAGGTAAAAAACAAGAAAATTAATTCTTTTAAGGATAGCTTTTGATTGATTTGTTCGTTTTCTACGGCTTATCAACCCTACGCAAGATATTTAAATCCAGAAAATATTTTTAGATTGTCAGAATTTCTTTGAGATAATAATGATTTGCTGATACAAATCCTACTATTTAACCTATAGCTGGGGGAGAAGTTTTGGATTCATACCATTCCAAAGGGCTTTGGCCCGTAAGTGAATATAACGAACCCAACGGGAATTGGAACTCGACTCTCCAATTAACAATTCCGAGTCATTATCCATTACACCACCCGCACATCCAAACTTACAGCACCTGGTATTCCCAAGCGGTCATCCATCTATGTACTGACCAGGCTCAACGTTGCTTAACTTTGGTGATCGTACAGGAACTGGCATTTGAATGTGATAAGGTCGTAAGCTGAAGGTAACTTTTATGCTTATTTTCGCTTTAATTGTAGTCAAAAAGTATAAAAATAATGTTTTAACTTTTTTAGAGTATAATAGTTAAGAAAAAGGAAATAAAACAAGGGAATAGATTGCTAAGTGTAATATTTTTAATAGTATAACTTTTAATAGTATAAGTTTGCTTGAAACATTCATGATACAATCGAGCTGAGCATCCTTTTCACAAAGGTGTCGATATTTTTCAACCTTTTTCACTTCGAAAAGTATGCATACAGACTCAGTTCTGTCTCGGGCTTGTTCTTCCAGCTTTATTTGCAGGCAAATACTCCAGAAAATGACGTAATCTAATTGTAATATCGTATGTAAATTAGATAGACAAGTATAAATAGAGAACAACTGGGGAACATAAAAGAGCTATGCCTAGCAAACCCGGTTGCTATTCAGGACACGGAGAACTGTACTACGACTACCACTACGCAGAGAGATATGCAAAACATAATACTAATGAATCCTAGTAAACAGTAACCTGGTTAAACCTAGAGCTACCGGTTAGTCTTTTATACACGAATCCTTAATGAAAGATGCTCGTTGGTAAAAAAAAAAAAAAGATTAAACCATCACGTGATTATATCCTCTGATCTTAAATGAAACATCGACTTATGACGTCTGCCTTTTAAATGTTAATATTTGTAAATGGGACTTATCACAGATTTCTCTCGTTCAGCTAAATGATCTGAGAGATATGACGATCAACAAATAGAGCCAGTGAGCAGCCATAAAATTTTAGAAAATTGTTTAAAAAAGTTTTGTGCCACTGTTTATTCCCTCTCAACATCCCTTTATATCACTAGGTTCCCTTCATCCATCACGCAACTTTCATCTATTTACCAAATACCATGGAGAATAGAAATATATTGCATGGTCTTTTTATGTAGGTTGATAGTCTTTTCTTCTTTTTATGTGTCATGTCCTTTCAAGACGTAGGCGATCATGTCTCTCCAACTCCCTCTATTCTTTGCAGGCCTCAGCAAGCTCCTTCCCTCTGCTTCCTCCCCCAGACCATGTTCAAGCTCGTTAGGTATGTCACGCGCTGCTTTCCCTTGTCTCTCTTTCCCTCTATTCGACCCGTGAGTATCAGATTCTCCAGGCCCTCCTTCCTCATTATGTGTCCCAGAAACTTCAGCTGCCTCTTTCTGGTGTTAAGTATAAGACTTCTTGTTTGTAACCTCTCTAAGTTTGTAATCTCTCTCTCTCTCTCTCTCTCTCCTTCTCTCTCTCTCACTCTCTCTCACTCTCTCTCACACTCTCTCTCTCTCTCGTTTCTCACATGCTCGGTCCATGATATCCTTAGCATCCTTCTGGAGAACCACATCTCCATCGCCTCGAGTCTCTTCTTCATCATTGAGGAAATGGTCGAGTATTCGCTGCCGTAAAGGAGAACAAATGTCACGTAACAGCTCAGTATTCTTTTCTTTCTTACCAAAGAAATCCCCCTGTCTCGCAATACTCTGCTCAACTTTTGGAATGTGTCCTTGGCCATCCCAACACGTCTGTGGATCTCAGTGTTGCACTTACCGTCCTCCGTCAAGACGCTTCCCAGATGTTTAAACTTGATTCTAGTGTTCCCGACCTGCAAATCGCATTTCGGGCTCTTCCTCTTGATGATTATGCATTCTGTCTTCGTGTAGTTAATGCTTAGCCCTTTCTTCTTGTAGTCTATGCTTAGTCCTTTCTTCTCACTTTCCGATGCTACCTTCTGTAGAAGTGTTTGTAGATTCTCTTCCACGTCTGCTATCAGTATTGTGTCGTCTGCGTATCTTATGTTGTTATGGTTGTGGCCGCCAAGGCTAAATCCCAGTGGGGTTTCCACTTCTCTCATAATTGCCTCGATGTACAAGTTGAACAGGTCAAGTGAGAAGACACAACCTTACCTTACGCCCCTTTCTATTTTCGTATATTCACTGAACTCGTTCCCTATGCAAATGCATGCTATTTGCTGCCAGTATAGGTTTTTGATTATTCTGATATCCCTCCCGAATATATCAAGGTTGCTGAGCAGTTCTATCAGATCCTTGTGGCGTACTTTGTCAGAGGCCTTTGCGTATTTTACCTATTTATTTATTTATTAATTAACCCAGCAAGCATGGGCAAACAAACCGAAGGTAAAATATGTAACAGAAAGCACCGGCAATATGCAGAAAACAGGAATAATTAAAACAGTGATTTAGAAAAGCGTTTAAGACAATGGAAGAGGCACAATTCTACATAAGTACAGTTACCATCTGCCAATATAATAAAAATGTATTTTGAGCTCCTTTTTGAAGACGTCTAATGTGCTGAAAGAGAGAGTGTTCCTAGATTTGTTTTAGTCGATATAAATACGTTATTATTTTTGTCGACTGGGTAAACATTTTTCTGGATTTTTCTTCTGTGAATGTGAAATAAAAAATAGTGCAGACACATTGTGTGATAAAATTCAAGCCATCTGGTCCAGGATTGTTCTCCACGGGTGATGAAAAGGTAAAGTCGACTCATCACAGCAGTTGTTAACGCCAGGCGTCGAAGCCAGCAAAAGGATAAAATCTACTTCCGGATGGAAATCTGGATTGGTATTTGTCCGCTCTTCTCGATCCAAAGAGAAAAACAACACGTGACAATAACAACAGCATTTGTTTGTACTTCATTTTTTAACGAGCTGAAGCAAAGTCAGCTAAGCTAGTTTTTTTTTTTTTTGTTGCAACGAGTAAGTCGCCTCGGCGTGGGATACTGATTAACCCTCCCTTAATCAGTATCTGCTTAACTGTTAGTAAGTTCGTTTCTCACAGAGTGCACTGTACAAAATTCACCATTAAATATCACAAGAGCTGATATGTCGTAAAAAACCGCTTATAAAAAAAATAAATTTGGATGTGGCTGATTTTTTTTTTTTTTGTTTCGTTTTTTTTTTTTTTTTAATTTACCCATTTTCAGCTGGGCCCTTAAAAACATGTTAATGAGAAATAAATCTTAAAAACTGCGGGAAGCGATGATGTAAAAGTGAGATAATGGGAAATGATCACGCCACAGAGGAAAAGGAATTAAGATGTGGTTATGCAAGAATAAAAAAGAAAACAGTGAACAAGAAGGAAATAGAAGAAAATGAAGGACTGGAGGAGTATGAAAAAGAAAAACAAGAAATAGGATGCAGAATAGAAAAGGATAAAGGTAATAATAAGAGTAGCCTACGGGAACTAGAGGCCGTAAAAAGAAAACTATAAAAATATAGTGGAATGCAGAAGAATTTTAGTTGTATTAGCAGTTATACAAAATTAAAAAATATGAGGTTAAAAATGAGAAAGAAATTAAAGTAGTAGTTGATACTTCGAAAATATTTTTGAAAAAGTTACTCAATAATTGCACAATTGAATAGTAATATTAATAATAATAATGATGATAATAATAATATTAATACTTAAGAAAATAGCGCGATTTAGGAAAAGAAAAGAAAACAAAAGACATTGTTTGACTATGTTCAACAATATCAACTTATTTTTAAAAAATGTTTTTCAAGTATAACAATATAAAACTTTACAATATAGTCTTTGTGAGAAAGTTCCTTGTTTTGTA